CATCTCTAGTGTGAAAAGTTCTTGTTATCCAACCTGTCATTTTTCTTGCAGTTGTGATGGCTACTTTATTGTGTTCTTTAAAGGTAAGGTCTTCCGACATGAGTACAGCTGTACACCCAGATCCTTTACATTGCCTTTTCGTTCTATGTTATGATTTGCCTGAGTTTTGTACGTGGTTTCTGTTTTTATATTTTCAATTTTTCCGTAGCGCATGAGCTGGAACTTATCCTCGTTAAACACAATATTATTTTCTTTAGCCCATAGAAAGACCTGATCTATATCTGATTGGAGGTTTGCCGTGTCCTCTATGTTGCCAACTCTCATGAAAATCCTAGTGTCATCTGCAAAGGATAATACAGTGCTATAGGTTGTGTTCTTGTCTATGTCCGATATGAGGATGAGAAAAAGTACTGGAGCAAGCACAGTACCCTGGGGGACTGAGCTCTTCACGGTTGATGGGCTGGATTTTATTTTGTTGACTATTACACATTGGGTTCTGTTGGTCAGGAAACTGTAGATACATCTGCCTATTTTCCCGGTAATTCCTTTTGAACGCATTTTATGTGCAATAACACCATGGTCACATTTATCAAAAGCTTTTGCGAAATCTGTGTAAATTACATCAGCGTTTTGTTTGTCTTCCATAGCATCTAATGCCATATCATAGTGGTCCAGCAACTGTGACAGGCAAGAGCGCCCTGTTCTGAAACCATGTTGTCCGGGGTTATGGAGATGCTGTGATTCCATGTATTTTGTGATCTTACTTCTTAGCACTCTCTCAAAAATTTTTATGATGTGCAATGTTAGTGCTATACATAAATGATCTACCAGTTGGTATACAGAATTATATGAACATGTTTGCTGATGATGCTAAGATAATAGGAAGGATAAGAAACTTAGATGATTGTCGTGCCCTTCAAGATGACCTGGACAAAATAAGTATATGGAGCACCACTTGGCAAATGGAATTTAATGTGAATAAATGCCATGTTATGGAATGTGGAATAGGAGAACATAGACCTCATTCAACCTATACATTATGTGAGAAATCTTTATAGAATTCTGATAAAGAAAGAGATCTAGGGGTGGTTCTAGATAGTTTTCTATCACCTGAGGACCACATAAAGAATATTGTGTGAGGAGTCTATGCCTCGCTTTCAAACTTCAGAATTGCTTTTAAATACATGGATGGCGATATACTAAAGAAAATGTTCACGACTTTTGTTAGGACAAAGCTAGAATATGCAGGGGTTGTGTGGTGCCCATATCTTAAGAAGCACATCAACAAACTGGAAGAGGTGCAAAGACATGCTACTAAGTGGCTTCCAGAACTGAAGGGCAAGAGCTACGAGGAGAGGTTAGAGGCATTAAATATGCCAAAACTAGAAGACAGAAGAAAAAGAGGTGATATGACCTGTGTGACCTGGATTATGCTTTTGTGATGGATCTGCATTCCTTCATGTATAGATCTTCGTGTCTGTACTGGATTCGTTGTGAAGTTCCGAAGTCGTCCTGGTTAGCAGACTGCCCACTCTTCTCGTTGGAGGCTTGGCACACGTTCTCTCGGTCCTTACACGCTTGTGTGGAGGGAGGCTCAGATGGCGCTGCAGGTTTTCCTGTGGGACGAATTTGAGCATCTCGATGCATTTTTGTTTGCATGCCCTTCCGCAGGATGTTGGTGTGTTGCAGATTCATGTGCAGGTTCCTTTTCTTTCGGTTGCCTTGGTTGCAGTGGATTTGCATACACGTGGCCTGCTGGCTTCGGCCCTGCATTTTGTCTCCCTCCTTGAGCTGTCCTCAGATTGGTTTGAGTTGTATGTGGAGGAGCTTGGGGCCGCCTCTGGGTCTGGTGCATTACCCGCGGCGGTGCGTCGTCTGTATTGTTGCTGTTGGCGCTGCTCCTGCGAAATGTGGTTTCGTGGTTTTTTGCTTCTCGACTCGCGTGTTGGCAGGTGGTGCTTGCTGCTTTTTTGGAATCTGCTTGTGCCCTGGCTCTTAGGTTGTCATTGCCTTCTTTGTCCATTACTGTTTGCAGAGTTGGCGGTTGTGCAGTATCTGCAGGCAGCTTCGGCTAGTTGCCTTCCTATGTCGGACTTGTTAGTTCTCCAGGCTGGGGGCCAGGGTCTCATGGGGGGGCCTTCCCGAATGGGTCGTGCCAGGGCTCGGGGTTCTTCCCGTTGTGGTTGGCCAGAGGTGTCATATTCTCCTGACTGAACCGAAGGCTGCAAGCCTTCGGTTCAGTTTTTTCTGGTCAGCGCGGGGATCGCCCTATGTGCAGCTTAGGTTTTTGTAAGGTGCGTTGTCCTATTGACAGGATGATAGGGATGGGGGGGAGGCTTGCTGTGTTTGCTCGCGTGTGGTGCCACAATTTGTGGACCTTTTGGGTTATTTTGTGCGGCCTATGGTGGAGTTGGGTGGCTCCTCCTCCTCCTACAGGGGGGTTCGTGGCTGGCTGGGCAGATCTCTTCTCCTGCACTCTGTTGAGTCATATTGGAGTGAGTTTGCTTGGGTGTGGTCGAAACGACCTCGTCTCTCAGGTGGGTTTCTCCGTCTGTATCCGGTCCCGAAACGGGACTGCGCAAACCTCCGGTTCATTCTGGACTTATCCCGTCTGAACCCCGTGGGTTTATTGCCCCTCCTTTCAGACGACTACTGTCCCAGGTCCGTCTTCTGTTGGTCATGTGCTTGGTGTCCCTGGACCTAAATGATGTGTATTGACACATCCTAATTCATCCGAGGTTCAGGAACTGGCTCGGTTTTGTTGTGGGGCATGAAGATTACCACTTTCATTGCCTTCCATTCGGCATGAATCTGGCGACTTGTGTCTTCATGCACCTTATTACGGTCATGGTGACCTGCCTGCATTTAACACTATCGCCAGCCGGGCATGCACTAGGCGTGTATGCATGAACTACGCCTGGCGGTGCAGGTGAGCGTGCGGGGCGAGCGCTCGGCGACACTAAATGTGTATACTCGTTTCAGTTTTCTCACCCTAATTCTCGTGCTACGTCTCTGGTTTTGGTATCATTGTGTTCACAACAGAATTCCCTACAGGTGTATATGCATATAAGGTCAAAAAACCAAGCTTGACTGCCCAGAGCAAAGCCTAAAGTCGGCACGTTATCCGTGAGCACACAAAATCGGTAAAATGTGTATACTGTACTGATTTCAGCTTTTTCACCTTAATTCTCATGCTACGTTGTTTGTTTTGGTATCAATGTGTTCACAATTAAATTCCCTGCAGGTGTATATGCATATATTGTCCAAATGCACAGCGTGACTCTCCCCTAGCAAAACCTAAAGTTACCCATGAATGAGAACCAATTATTACACCCTCAACCTAATGTGTATACTCGTTCAGTTTGATAACATCAATTTTTGTCTTAACGTCGCTCGTTTTGGTATCAAATTGTTTGCAATATAAAGGTGCATACTTTAAAACTGGTCCCATAATAGTAGCACAATAAATAGAATTTTAACAAATATGTTAAAATGTTAACCAAAAACATATTTATAATCTTTCAAGTATTCTGACATAAGGTTTCGTGTTAAATCTTTCATTTTGGTATCAAATATTGCGCACTCAAAAGCCACTTATTTTGAAACTATCCCGAAGTTGATTGGATAAAAAATGAATTTTATACAAATATTTTTGTGTTCGATGCGAGCACTGTTCAAGGCTAGGACTCGAGAGAAAAAAAGTGGACGCGAGCAGTGTTCAAAGCGAGCGATAGTGTTAAGTGTTCGGTATGGTGTCCAAAGATCATAGTGGCCATCAGTAAACAACATGCCAAGTCGTGCAGACGACGCTCCTCCCTCACCAAAATGGCGGCTCCCAACCTACTTCTCTCACTGCTATCTCACACTATACACACGTTATATACAAGTACCTATATTTGTATTCACCATAGCGAACCACTAAGCTGGTATGGTGAGTGCAGTCAATAAATGGTGGCTACACAGTCAGAAGACGATGCCACAACCCTCCCTCCACAGCCTTACTCCTCCCCCATGGAGCACTGCGCTAAATATCACCACAATCCTGCTATCATCAGAATCCTGGTCAGTTTTATCACAGTCAGGGGGCTTCAGTAATACTATCACTGCTAAATAATAGCAGTATCATATATATTATGGCATTTGTAGGCGATGCTGTGGTCACAAGCTGAACAGCGGTGCTGTGAGCTCGTGCTGCGTGCGCCAGCCTTGGTGGCTTGCTCAATACTGACGCTGTAACACCCAAGAATGTTGGCCTGGATTTTTTTCCTAGGTGGCATCTGGCATCTGGCTGTACTATAGCTGCCCCTATCCCAGGCGGGGCATTTAAATTATAGCACTAGACACGAAATCATATATATATGATTTGCGCAGTTTAAGGGTTTAGGGACTTGAACAGAGGCTGTGTTTTGTCTGAAGACAGAGTTTGTTATAGTTCTGATAGCAGATTGTTGCCAAGTGATGAGAGGCTTTAGGCAAACCACTTAGTTTGCATAAACAAAATGATTTGTTTACAAACCACTTGGTTTCTATGACAAGTTTTATTTCAGCTTGGTTCACCATACATATCTGAAATATAAAAAATATATGTAGTAATTCAAAAGTTATAATAATTATTCTAATATTGAAATGCAGGCATAATTATTGTAATACATGTATAATATTTGTTCTAGTATTGAAATGCATGCATTTTTACACGTAAATTCACATTCAGGTAGTATTATATTTTTGAAATGGTACAATTGTATGTGAAATTATCCTGTATTCTAATTGCACTTGAAGGTGCATGACAACCTAAGTTATTTCTGTAGGTTAGACAATTCCTTAATTTATATAATACATCTTGTATGGAAAAAAATTAACCTGTGAAGATGCAATTCATGTATTTAAAATTAATGGCAAGAATGAGGCGAAGATCTAGTCACTTCCATTATGTTTTTTTGACTTGGGAATTTTTCTTACTTCTCTATTTGCAATAAATATATATTTATGGTATATTGCAGTTGTGAGGAAGATTGTAAGGGAGATATAAGGAAGCTACTCGGTGATGAAGGGGCATGTCAACTTAAGGAACTGCTGGGTAACCCCTGGATGAGTGAGCATGACTTGCACTCCCACACGCAGTTGGAGATAAAAAGTGGCTCTACGCAGACCATTATTGAGATTGGCCCAAGGTAAGTTGTGGAATGTGTCGGAATATAGCACATAGCCTCAAGATCCATATTGTTGTTAGCCATTTATTCAGATAAATGATTAATCTTCACTGTGATGTTATGTTGGAATAAATTTGTGGCACAATGTCCACCAGACATTGTGCCTTTTAACTGGTCTAGACACCCAACCCATAAATTGAATAAAAGAAGTGATGAGGTTTTCATCTTTCCTGAACCGTCATAAAGTTGTGTACCAGTAATGGTAGAGAAAGTTTCTCAATTATGAAATTAATTAGTCTTTCCTTCAGCTTGGTTATCCTTAAATTTGATCAGCTGCTGATATTTTCAAGCTAAATTAAATTTCTTTAATCATTGACCTGCTTCCAGCAATAGAAACACTTGTGCTGTGCCATCCTTTTATATCTGAATTAAAACACCTTGCTAACACCCTTTTGTTGTCTTTGATATTGATATAAACTTGCCTTTTGACAAAGCAACACTTCATTGTAATCTCGTTCACACTACTGCTCCTGCCTCCAATGCTTCTGGTAATAACTGAAGTGTAATTGCCTAAGTGTAGATACAGGATGAGAGCTAGGCTCGTAGTGTCCCATCTTCCCAGCACTCTGTTGTGTAACACTCTGAAACTACTGATGGTTTTGGCCTTCACCTTCTCACTCAACTTATTCCAACAGTCTACCACTCTGCAAACAAAAAGCTTTTAATATTTTCAGCACCTTTGTTTCCTTGGCCTGAATCTGTGACTTTTTGTTCTTGAAGTGGTTGGTTTCAGGAATTCCTATTTGTCAATTTGATAGTCTTATTGTTTTGCAAGTGGTGATCAAATCAACTTTTCTGTGGGGAGCCCGTATGGCTCCCTGGAGCTTATCGGGCTAATGTATGTTATATTAGACCGGGACATTAGCTAAGGAGTTCAGACCTACCAGGGACCAGCGCCAGAACCTGGCCCCTTCAGAGAGGTTTCAGGGAGCAATGGCCCTGGAAAACCCCTTTGTGGTTGGGGTTTTCCTTATCTGCCATCGACCGGGGTCAGGCACCCAGAAAGGTAGGCATGACAAAACAAACCCCACATGGTAAAAACTACAACAAAAACCAAACAGAGAGGTAGAAACTTCCTACAATCCCACGGAAACAAGCAAACATTACTCTCTACTGCTGCGCCAATCGTCCGCGCAGCCCTCCCCTCCCAGAGAGGGGGAGGGGGGAGCCCCGGACCTATCATGCCGGCTGCCTAGCTTCAGTTCATAAGCTAATGTTAACCGGGTTAGACGCTTCTCTGGCCTCAGTTTCCTAGGCGGTGTTTGCCTTGTGTGGCGTTCACTGCCGTGTGTTGTGTTGTGCGGTGGCCAGGAGTACCTCATCAGTACCAGGGCTGCATGCGCTTAGTGGCTGACTTCCCTAAGCGCCCTGTGAGTACTGCCCTTGAGTAACAGGGTTATCTTCCCTGGGGCATTCGGGAACCATTCCCGTAGAGGTTCTTGCTGCTCGGCATTTGCCTCGCCCTTGGGGCCAGCTGGGGCTTGGGGCCTTTGTTTGGCCCTGGGTCCTGGGTAGGGACTGGTATTGTGCTGGTTAGGGCAGCAAGGTGTTGCGGGACCTGCCACCCAAGCGGCGACTGGTTCCTGTTGCCTCTGGAGACGGTGTACTTTTTTTTTTTTTTTTTTGCCTGGTGGGGGTCTGCCTAGTGTGGCTATAGTTCCACTGGTAGTGTTTGGTGGCCCTCTGCTAGGCCCCCGTCATTGTACACGTCGCACGGGTTTTCAGTGTTATACTCTACCCCTTGTTGATTTTGGGCATTTAACAGGTTAGCATCACCTTGCCCGGGCTTCCCATAGTTGTTACCCGTACAGGCCCTGGAAGTTCCTGTCGGGGCTCGGTGGACCATTCTATGTGTCTTCCGGGTCCCAACCCATCTTATACGGGATCATTGGTTGCTGTTACGGAGGCAGAAGTGATGGCTCCAAGTTCAGCATTAACAGGATCTTCGGAGCCCAACACCACAGAGAATGTCTCATGCCGCTGCCACTCTGAGTTGTATACAATTGTGATCTCGACTTCAAACCTAAGTGTAGTTATAGGATGAGAGCTACGCTCATAGTGTCCCGTCTTCCCAGCACTCTGTCATATAATGCTTTGAAACTACTGATGGTCGTGGCCTCCACCACCTTCTCACTTAACTTGTTCTAACCGTCTACCACTCTATTTACAAAAGTGAATTTTCGTATATTTCTCCGGCAGCGTTTAGTTAGTTTAAATCTATGACCTCTTGTTCTTGAAGTTCCGAGTCTCAGGAATTCCTCCCTATCAATTTTATCGATTCCTGTTACTATTTTGAATGTAGTGATCATATCGCCTCTTTTTCTTCTATCATCTAGTGTTTACATATTTAATGCCTGTAACCTCTCCTCATTGCTCTTGTCCTTCAGTTCTGGGAGCCACTTAGTGGCATGTTGTTGCACCTTTTCCAGTTTGTTGATGTGCTTCTTCAGATATGGGCACCATACAACCGCTGCATATTTCAGCTTTGGTCAAATAATAGTCGTGAACAATTTCTTTAGTATTTCTCCATCCATGTATTTAAAGGCAATTCTGTAGTTAGAAAGTGTAGCATAGGCTCCTCGCACGATGTTCTTAATGTGGTCCTCAGGTGACAGTTTTCTATCTAGAACCACCCCTAGATCCCATTCTTTGTCAGAAGTCTTTAAAGATTTCTCACATAATTTATAGGTTGTGTGGGGTCTATGTTCTCCAATTCCACATTCCATAACATGGCATTTATTCACTTTAAATTCCATTTGCCAAGTGTTGCTCCATATATTTATTTTGTCCAGGTCATCTTGAAGGGCATGACAATCATCTAGGTTTCTTATCTTCCCTATTATCTTAGCATCATCAGCAAATGTGTTCATGTAATTCTGTATTCCCACTAGTAGATCGTTTATGTAGACAATGAACATTACCGGTGCAAAAACTGAACCCTGTGGTACTCCACTCGTAACATTCCTCCAACCTGATACCTTGCCTCTGATTATGACCCTCATGTTTCTGTCAGTTAGGAAATTTTTCATACATGTTAGTAACTTACCTGTCACTCCTCCAATATGTGCCAGTTTCCAGAACAACCTCTTATGGGGAACTCTGTCGAAAGCCGATTTTAGGTCCAGATAGATGCAGTCAATCCAACTCTTTACAATTCTTCGCGGCAGGGGATCGTATTCCAGGGACCATAGGATTAAGGACTTGCCCGAAACGCTACGTGTACTAGTGGCTGTACAAGAATGTAACAACTCTTGTATATATCTCAAAAAAAAAAAAAAAAAAAAAAAAAAAAAAATTCCTGTAAAATTTATGTGGCTCGATCATAAAAACTGAGCATGTTCATTATACAGGATCTTCCAGATCGAAAACCATACTGTCTGTCTGATATTATATCATTTCTCTCCAGATGTTCTACCCATTTAGTTTTAATTATTTTCTGGGGGGGAGCCCCGTCGGCTCCCCGGAGCTTTACCGGCTGATATGCTAATGTCAGACTTTGGCATCAGTCATGTGTATGGAGTTCTAGGGCCTACCGGGGACCACGAGCCAGAACCTGGCCCCCTCAGAGAGGCAAGGGGAGCAATGGTCTATAGAAACCCCCGTGTGGTTGGAAGCATTCTATGTCTGCCAGCGACCGGGTCAAGCATCCAGAAAGGTAAGCATTCCAAAACAAACCCCTATTCTGGTGAAAATTGCTACCTAAGCCGAACTAGTGGATAGAACTCTTCAACAGAAAACAAGGAAACTAGTATGACGTCATACGTCACTGCGCCGCTGTCTGCGCAGCTCCCCCCTCCCCGGGAGGGGGAAGGGGGAGCCCCAGACCTCCCACGCCGGCTATCCACCCATCAGTTCTTCGGCTGATGCTATAGGCAATGGTTATGTGCTCCGGCTCCAGTGGTTGTTTCAGCACTGTACCTAGAGTGTGGTGTCTGTTTTCTAGGTGGTGCGTGAGCCGGGAGTGATTCTTCAGTACTCGGGCTGCATGCGCCTAGGGTTCCCTTCCCTAGGTGCCCTGTAAGTACTGCCCTTGGGGCTTGGGGCCACCTTCCACAAGTTCCTTGGGTCCTGCCCCTGATTGGCCGTTTACTGCTTGGTTTTCGGCCGCTCTTTGTGTGCTCGGGTGTTCTGTCTCCCTTGTTCACCTTAGAGTAAGGGGTAGTGTTTGCACTGGTGGGGCGTAGGGTACTGTGCAGCTTGTCTTTACCAATCATAGCGGCCGGCTCTGTTCCACTTGGGTACGCTGTCCTCTTGCGGGGTTTTCTTTTTCTTTTTGTTTATCTACCTGGTGGGGGGGTCTGCCTTCGTTCTTGCCCCTTGTGTCCCTTGTGTTCTGAGTATTTTCTGGTGGTACCCCTGCTAGGTCCCCGTGAGTGTACACGTCCCGGGGGTTCAGCTCTTAGAAAGTTGTTTGGTAGCTTTGGGTGCCGGTTAGCAGTACCCTGCCTGGGATTACCTGAGCGCGAGTCCTCTTAAAGTAAACGCTCGGGACCCTGGGAAACCCCTGGGGGCGCGCGGGTCCGATGGATGTGACCCCAGAGTCCCCCCCCCCCCTCGCTTCCAGCGAGTTTGAGGGTTGCTCTCACCCTTTGTCTCTGGGTGACTCTCTGTTTTGCCTCCGTCTGCTGCCTGTGGGGTCGGTGACACCTTCGACCCGGAGTCCTGCGAGTTTTGTTGCTCGTTGTGGCTCGGTTACCCAGTTGTGCTAACAAAGCGGGTGCGGGCAGCAGGGGCGTTGCACTTGAGCCTTGGTGGTGGCAACGTTCTCGTGGTTTCCTCCCCGGGAGCCCCGGGGCTGCCCCGTTGTAGTTCGTTTTGAGACTTGGGGGTGTTGGTTGCTTCGGTTCCATCCACGCCCCCTTGTCTTTCCCCTGGATCATCCGCATTATTGGAACGTCTGTCGGCTCCTCGTACTTGTCGCCCTGTTGGGCTACTTGTCGCCCTGTTGGGCTACTTGTCGC